ATGATATCATACAAAATATTGTAGCTTTTCTATTCAAGATTATCTATTTAATAGATTAAACTTTTAAACTATTTTATTAAAAAGTAATTTTATCATTTAAAAAATTGTCAAAATAATTTGTATTAATTTATTATTTGGATTATATCAATTTATAGTTAAGTATTAGTTAATTATTGTCTGAAAAATATTTTTCTTTACGTACCACAAAATATTTAAACTATCATATAGATTTCTGAATATAATATTTTCGTATCTTTTTTTTTAATGAATGTTTTTTTTTAATGAATTTAAGAATATGAAATTCTTAATATAAATCTGAATATAAATATTTTCATTTTTTTTAATATGTACTTTAATAATTAATAATTTTTATTTTATTCCAGTGAGTCGGAAAATCTGCTCAGATAGTTTAATAAATTCAAATTCGACTCAAATGTAAATGTTAAAACGTAAAGTTTATTAAAATTTTGTATATAATAAATGATCATTAGTAGAAAATTGTCCTAAATCGTACGAATAAATTTATCAGTAATGTTAGAAAAAATAATTGATAATTGTGTTTTATATCAATACAATAAAATTATATATATATATATATATATATATATATATATATATTAGTATTCACATTAAAGTTTATAATCACACATTCCATCATTATCATTTAGATTTTATTTTCAGTATTTGCTTCATATGGTACTTGTTCGTGGAACACTTAGTTATTTTAAGAACATAATTAAAATTTCATAATTTTCATTTCTAGTTTTTATTTTTCTAATCTAATATAAAAAATTACAGAATGTAATATACATTTTTCTATATAATTAATAATAATAATAAAGATTATTTATTAAAATACTATTTAACATAAGCATATATGTATAAAATTAATAAGAATAATTTAGAAACTATGTTAATGATATAATAAATATTTAAGTTTAACAGAGATGAATTCTATTTTTATACTACACAATGCACAATCTTATAGATTATTCATTAAATTTAAAAATTGAATGATCTTCAAAAAGCAATTTTAGCAATCAATACACGTCATAATTACTACGTAAATTGCATTGAGAAGAAATTGCAACTTACATTGTAGTGTAATATAAGAAAGTACAATATATATATATATATATATATTCAGTATAATTAAAAAAATTGAATAATGTATTAATTAATTTTATATTTAAAACATAAATGTTAATTGCTTTCGTTTAATATCTTTTAAAATTATATTTACTTTAATATTTATGGAAATAATTTTGCTATTATCAATTGTTCGCACGTGAGGCATATTTTAGTTAACTATATTAAAAGGTTATATTACTTATGCATTGAATTCTAATGTTAATTTAATAAAATACACTATTTTATGATGTTATTTCAATTTTATTATAAGAAATATTATGGAACAATCAATTGATTTATAATGTTAATATCAATACATGAATTTGATTAATGTCATATGTAAGAAATACAACATTTTGTATTTACCGTAAATTTAAATTTAAGTTTTAAAACGATAAAATATAGATATATTTATTTACCCTATAAAATTATGTTACGATTCATTGTTTAAAAATAATTTTCTCTTTATATTATGCACAACAAAATAAAATCTTTACTTATTTTTAATCATACTAAGTATATTTCATAGCACATGTTAAAAAACAACAATTCTTCCTTTTCTATCTACAATATATAATTAACAAACGATCCGAATAGAGAATATAACAAATTAAGCACGATTCTGTTGTTTAATGCGAGTAAATAATTACTCAATTTAAAAAGTACATAATTTTTATTTTGAATATTGGTCGCGAGATTGGTTTGAAAACAATTAATTGTTAAATATAATGAAGAGCGAGCGTGATTCGTTGAAACTCGCTCAAAGTGTCGTCAATAATATTTAAAACGCGTTACCTAAACTTTCTATTTTCCTTCCTACAGACAGTAATCTTTTATCAAGTACATAACACTTTAAAAAGCAATATGACATAGAGAGACAACTTGAACTAAAGCACTAATCAGCTCTTTAACAAAACTCAAAAGCCGTTGTTTAACATTGTATCAGCAAGATACTATACACATGAAATAGCCATACGCACCACTGACGTTGCAAAGTCGTAATATTTTTGACAGAGAGGTTTGCTTGCGCGCTGCCCTTAACCGTCCCCTTATAGTGAAAATCGCAGCTGGTTCAGTTGTCTATCAGCTAGGACAACTCGTAGCTGTCGTAAGGACTTGCGCCGTTGTTAAGAATTCCAAATTTATTGATCGCCAAAGCACGCACGTTCGGTGCAAATACATCCTTGTGTATTGCATAATGTGTTTCGAATGCGCGCGAATATTCGTACTTATTCGTGATATTATTATTGAATTTCTTGACTTTTATAAGATGTGCACATACGCAAGCACTCGATTCCCGAGGAAAAGCGATGTCTGACATCGATGAAAAAAATTCACAGAAATACTATAGTTTTTGATTTCTATATTACCACAAAAAAAAAAAAAAAAAAAAAAAAAAAAAAAAAACTATACTTCAGGTAGTTTTAAAAAATTACAAGTTTTAAAATAGAAAGCGATTACATACATTACATAATATCTATATTTAATTCTTAGTCGGAATATTTATAATCAATAATATTGATTGAAAGTGTAGAAAATCACAGTATGCGGGATCATTCGTGCATCGTTCATCTGTAACGGATAAATATAAATTGTTCGTTAAAATTTTCGATTCAACATTGAGACTAAAACTTTTAACAATTATAGAAAACTCGAATTTAATAACAGCAAAAAAAATAATCAAATTTAACGTTTGAAATAAAAATTGCTTATCCGTATGTAGTTTAAGTTCTCTGCAATTAAATATTAACTTAAACAAAATTAAAAAAATACTATTTTTTATTCAACTATGCTGCAACTATACAGCGGAAAATACTTAATTTATTGCAAGTAATATAAACAATTTTATATTTATATTATTTCGCATAATTATAGACAAATATATATATTATACGCAAACGATTTATTCATTATGGTCATATAAATTAAATATTAATTAAAATTTATAATCAATCGATATTAAAAACGTATAAGATAATAGAAATATTACGTAAATTTTACTATAGCACGAAAAAGTTGCAAAAATATTTTAGTAGAATATTAAAAATTCTTAATTAAAAAATCGATAATTTCATTATTACTGCAATTCCAAAAATGTGTACTTTTAAATTAATATATTTTTTCATAATTTAATTCATGATTTGGAAAAAAATATTTTAGAATTTATAATAATAATTGACAGAAAATTGCAGAGCTTATAAAGTCTATTCTAAACCAATGAAACTTAATATTATAATATAACTTCTTAAAACAATATCAAAAAAAGTAATAAAAATATAATAATACTAAATAATAAAAATATAAAAGCCCATCAAAATTAAAAAAATATTAAAATTTAAAAAATTCTTATTAAATTAATTTATTCAAATGATAAACAACGTTATAAGTGCAGATTTCTCAAAATTCCAATCCAATCAATCGACTACATATTATTAATATTTTGCACTAACTGTTGATCTAATGGATAAGCATTATAAGTTAGAGTTCGATTATTTGGCAAATTGGTTATTTCATCTTTTTTTCTAAAAACTAAAATTCAGAAGGAATTCATATCATATCTATTAAGTTAAATTTGTCATTTTCAAGTTTTCCTAACTCTTAGAATTACTAATTAACTAATTGTCGACAACGAGCATGTATAAATATTTAATGAGTAATTAAAAATAATTATTTATTATTTTAATTTAAAACTCAATATACTAATATTTAAAATTATAATGTATAATTTTAGTATAATTGTAATATCGGGCTGCTATTATCATTTCCGTTAATATACATAATAATAATATTAAATAATAAATGAAATTCGAGCTTTCGATCGTTTATGTTACGAAATAAATATATAATAAAAAATAATTAAATGATAATTCACATAGATTTTGGTCTATTTATATTGAAATATTAATAATAAAAATTAAATAACAATAATATTGTATAAAAAGATAAGATGTAATTGAATATATTTAAATAATTTCACAAATTGTAATCTAAACATGTTAAATCTACAAATTGTTATATATTGCGCATAATTTTTAATACAAATACATTTACGAATAATTTAAGAAAATTTATATAATATATAATATAATATTTCATTCGTTTAAATGATGTTTCTTCGATTAATTATATATGTGATTATTAAATATCAATATTTTACATAAAATTTATGATGAAAAAAAAAAGTTTAAAAATGTATTTTGGGCATAATTTAAGACAACTAAGCATAATCCTTATATTATTTAATTCTATAATATAGAGTGTCTAAATTATTATTTATATACTTCTAGTCACAAATGAAAAATCAATTAGGATAGTTATAAAATACAATTATTATTACTACTTAAATATTTCAATTACAAAAAAAAAGAAATGAAAGAAATAATTTTTATTTATAATTATAGTTTTCATTAAATTTTGTTGTTAATAATATCCGTTTATAATTTTAGTATAAATTCAATCTAATAATAAATTAATTATTATAAGGTTGTATGAACAAAAATATACAAGTACAAATAATACTTTTCTATGCATCGAAAATAAATTTTATTGAATTCTCAAACCAAAGTATTTTTACAACATATAAACTTAATTAAATGCGGAAATCATAATAAATTGCTTTAATTATATAAAATATCTTTTATTAAAAAAACTTCCATAACTGTTTATCCTTAAGAAAATTCTATTTTCAATTATACATAATTAACTTTGAGAGCTTAATTTCTTATCAGATCAATATTTTATTACCAATCTTCGATACTTTACCAATAATATATGACAGTGTATTTACATAAAATTTTATATTTTTAAACATAACTAAAAGTATGTCACTTGTACATTACATGAATAGACAATGTATCTGTAATTATTCATTTATAAATGACTATTTATTTAATAGAATAAGCTATATAATTTACGTTATGTATTCACTCTCGCTCCCACTGTTCCTTCTCTGCTAATTCTTCTTCAACTTGTTTAATGAACGGTTGAAGATACAGCACATCCTGTAAAATAGTTATATTAACTAATAAACGATACATTATATACACATTATTTTAGAAAAGTTATTCCAATTATTTAGTAGAAAATATGTTTTTTTGATTATGAGTACACTTTAGGTTAATGATAATTTTAATACACAAATAATTTTAAAAAATAAATACAAAATATGAATATATATTAATACAATATTTTAACAATACTTAAATATTGCCAATAAATTGATTATTTATTATGTTTATCAAATTTATCTATTTTAATAGCAGCTATATTCAAAAAATTATAATTAAAAATTAAGTGAAAAACATTTATTGATTAAATTTTATATTATTTAGATTTAGAATTTACTAACCTATAAAATATTTAGTATTTTAAAATAAAATTAGCAAAACACACTTTCTTATTTATCTTAAAAGATATAATTTTTTTTAGTGCATTATAACATTGATAAAATTTAATTAGAACATAAACTTGCATATTGATGTAATTGAAATGTAATTTAAACCACTTCTTTTATATTTTCCCATTATAATAGAATGTTGGCTTAATGAAAATTTAGTTCTCAAATAGTATAATTTAAGTAAAATATATCTAACACAAAATTTTTTAAAGAATTTTAAAGAATTAAAAATTATTTAAAAATAATCATATTTAATTTTAACGTTAATATCGATCAATTTATATATTATATATTATGATAATTTATTAAATTACAATTTTTAATAAAACATATCTACGAATATATATATATATATGTCTGGATTTTTAACCGTTTTTTACTTTTTATATTTTGTGTCAAACAATATACTTCCAAATTCTAATATTAATAATAAAATACAAGAGACAAGTAGTAGACAAATTTAAAATTTAGAAAAACTAATATTTCATTTGTCATAAGATTTATCTAATGAATTCTATCCAAAGTATAAAAGAGAAATTAATAACATCGTAAATTTACAGTTCATGATAAAGTAATCAATCCTTTCTTATAATTTCTTGTATGAAAAATTATATTTTTATAGCTATTTGATGAAACGAAAGTTAATATTAAAAAAAATATATTAAACAGACATACATTTTCAAGTTTTGTCCATTCTTCCTCAGGCAATACATCCTTTCTCATACACAAATATCCAGCTCGAATAATTCTGAAATTTCGCTCTGCTAATACATCTGGATCTAAACGACGTAGAGCTTCTGTTACAATTTTATCCTCGTCTAATATATCATCACGTAAAAGACCTAAACAACGATTATTAAAAGAATATATTTAAATATAATTACAAAATATTTAATTAGATATATAATTAAATTCAGAATTGAATTAAAATTAAATCACCATATTTCCGAAATCCAGATGCGTTATACAGGTAATGTTTTATAGATTGATCTAAAAAAAACGAATAAGTATTATATATTACGTAAGATAAATAAAATACGTATTTCTAAGAATACTAGATACTTTTAAGAAATACTGGATATTTAAAATCGGCTCGTGGCAAATATGCAATTATTCTTTTCATTTTACAATGAAAACTTAATTATTTTATTAATAAACTTTAATTCGCTAGTTCGACCGCAAGAGATTTACTTCACCAGGTTCAATGCACACAAGCTTGAAAAGAGTATTTCTAATTGTAGTCTTTTGCGACATGCGCAAGGAAAATTTAAACTTATTGGTTATCACTAACCTACCCAGTCTAGTATGAAATCATATATAATAACAATAACAATAATAGCTGATATTTAATGAAATTTAAGTAATACGTGAATTAATCATCATATTTATGTTTATTTATTATTTTTCTAACTTATTGTAATATAAAGGTCTATTATTAAAATCGATGCAATTAATAATGAAAATATTATTATTATGAAAAACTAATGCATATGTTAACATTTTATGTTTTTAATTTAATTTTAATTAAGAAAAATATTATAAAAGTATGAAAAATATATATATATATATTACTAACATATGTTATTCAAATTTAAAATTTAAAATAATTATTTCATACATAATTTTAATTAAATTCATTACATCTCATAAATAAAAAAATTCTTTATAAATATGTCTTAGGGAATATACCGCGATTGTTAATAGTTTCAACGGACTGTAAAGTTAGATATTAAAAATTGGCGCATTCCCAAATGCCAATAAAATTAAATTTCAATTCAATTAGCCATAACTAGATCTCATGTATAGTTATTGAGGATCCATCCATAACAGCAACTGGTTAACGTATTTATGACAGTCGAATTATTGGGCTATTCAAGATTATTTAGAAAATTTGTATACAAAATTCAATTTTCCATTTAATGTAATTATTTGAAAATTATACGATTATTCATTATTAGGACATTTTTTTAATTATAATACCATATGATGCTTGATCGTTTTTAATAAATAGCAATATGATTAGTTTACAAATAATTGTCAACGATCAATGCATTAAACTAAGATCAATTTTTTTCACAAAAATTTTCGTTTACATTCATATTGATATAATAACATTATCTTTGTTCTAGTGACAAATATAGTAGTAGCACAGAATATTAATCGTAAAATAATTTTTCTTTTACATTACGAATATATTATTAAAAGTTATTCCTCTACCCATTTTGAAAATTAAAGAATTTTATTTGAAATTTCAAATACCAAAAATATACGCAAATTTAATTCTATCCATATCATATCGATTTTAATATTTTATTTAAATTTTAATACTATAGCTTATACAACTACAGAATATAACTTAATTGAAGGGTAAATAAAAAATTATTTTTAATATACCCTAATAGTCGGGTAAATTATGAAATACGATAAAAAAAAAAAATAATAAAATAATTGAAAAATAAATGAAAAATAAAAATTGCGGCTAGAAAAATATAGAGAATTATAGAATATAGAAAATTTTAGAGTATTTGTCTAAAAAATTATAGATATATACATATACAACTACATTTAATTAACAATTAAGATTTTTATAATTTTAATTAACGATTTAAAGTATTTATAACTTTTTTCCATTGTGTTAATAAACTATTTATTTGTAAATTAATTCTAGAATCTTTGCCCATTTATATCACAGATAAATGAATGAATAAATAAATAAATATATATATATATATATATATATATATATATATATTATAATTTTGAATCATTTTCAGTACCAAGATATATCCTTTTGTATTCGATAACAATTTTCTTATTATTCATTAAATTCCCATTCCCGTTTGCAAGCAAATCCAATGTTCATCGGCAAAAAATTTTTATCGTTTCTTTTGTTCTCTCAAAAAAATTGTACATCATATTCAAGTTTTCATAACATCATAACTTAATGTATAGAAAATGGTTTTTGTTATATTCAATCATTTTCTTTAATAAATTATATGTAAATATTAATTGAGAATCATTAACATTGAAATTGAAATTAAATTTAAAATATTCCTGTAATTGATGCATTTTACACAAATATTAATTTTAATAATTACAATATTAACAAGAATTATTAATGTCTAATGTTTGCATGCTATTAATATATATTTACATGTCTGCCATTTACAAATTCACTACCAATATAAAAAACAAAAATGAACAATACTTTATAGACTTTCATTTTTCATTTTCAAATCAGGCGCTTATTTAACAAAATAGTAATGACAATTGCTGACATGCGCAAACCGTCTCATCACGATATCATTTTGCATCGCATTTCCGTTTTATACGTACGTGCTTGTTAATTTTTCAAAATTACTAAAAACTCTGTATTTATAAATTGTTCGAGTCATAGCCTTTTTTGCTAAGCTTATAATAAACCAAAATATTAATTTGTAAATAAAAAATAACGTCGTGTATTAGAGCTTGAAAATGAAAAAACCGAATGGGATTATTTGTAAATAGATGGAGCTAGTTGTCACTATGCGCGTAGGAAAATGCGTTGCGCGTCCGAAGGGTATAAATAGAACACGCGACAGTGATTCCTTCGCCTCTTCCTCATCAAGAGTAGAGTTCTGTTCACGTGTGGTTGTGTCTCCTTTTTCCACAAAAATAGGTCACACAACCCACCTCCATTATCGTGAATTAACTCTCCTATAAAAATCAATAAAAAAACAAAAAAAATATAAAAATACATAAAAAAAACAATCAAAAAAATCGTAAAATCGTAGCTGAGAAAATCCGCGAGAAAGAGTAACTTCGAGAGGTAAATACTGATAAATCTGTCGAAGAAAAATCGGAAAGGAATCGAAAAGTAAGGGGATTCGAAGCACGCGTCGTCAATCGAAGAAAATTCTTTTTCCCAAGTGAGAAGCACATAACGAGAAGTGAAAAATTTTTCACAATTAGCGAAGAAAGGGAAAAGAATCGTTTCTTATAAATAACGGCTAAGGTAATAAGAGCAGCAGCAACAGCGAAGATCGAAGGAAGAACAAAGAGAGAGGCAACTCAAAAAAAAGTAACGCAGTAACGTTTCATTTTTTTCTTCTCCAGTACCGATTCTTCTGACACGTTAACGCACAGTCGCACACAACACACACACAAACACACAAAACACACTCGACATACATACATAGAAAAAAAAAAAAAAAGGAAACGAGGCAAAAACCTAATAAATTCAAAACTAAAAAAAAGGGAAAAAAGTGAAAAAAGAGTAAAACAATAGCGGTAACAGCGGCTCCTCCTTCATCTACACTAGCACGCGCAGCAATTATAACCTCAAAAGGAGATTTAGCAATTCTCCTTTCTGTACAAAAAAAAAAAGAGTAAAACAGCAACGAGAAAGCGAAGATGAATCCAGGAGCGCAGAACTACCCGATGGCCTCGCTTTACGTAGGTGATCTACATTCCGACATCACCGAAGCCATGCTTTTTGAGAAATTTTCATCAGCCGGTCCCGTACTCTCCATACGCGTCTGCCGTGACGCTGTCACTCGTCGTTCCCTCGGCTATGCCTACGTCAATTTCCAGCAACCTGCTGACGGTTAGTAATGTTGCCTGAATCTAAATTGAAAGAATTTCCCTTTAGTTTTAAGAAATGCATTTTTCCTACTCTATCAGGCTAATGAGTAACGTGAGAAGTTTTCATACACAGTGTATTTTACGTCGAGGCAACACGTGCTTCCATAATCCTTTAACACGCTACTTCCATATTGGAGTTCTTTGCCTATCGTTGCGTCGCATACTTTTTTTTTTTTT